CCTCTTCTCTACTGATAAGGGCGCATATCAGTACACGTACAGATATGATGTGTTTCACGGCAACGAGTGGGGCCATGTTTGTATCAGCGGTTACAGATATCAAAATTGGGGCCGAAATAAGTGGTTAGACTGAATCGGTCACACATAGATTCGAAACATAGGTTGCTGTCAGCCATGGAGAGCATCACAACTATCCAGCGTTGCGGCATCCCCACCGACATGGCCACAGAATGGCCGGGGACATGCAGGTATTAGACACGGCGGTCCGAGGGTTTCAGGGAAGACAAAAACAGGTTTCGCCGGTGTCTTAATTTACTCTCGGCATACTTGGGCATGTGCTTCCGGGTGGCCAGAGTCGTCGGCTTGGATTCTCGTCCAGGGTGGCTCGATGGACCGTCGCCTTGTATGGTTGTTACTTTCAAAATGTGTCTAGTACAAAGGGCAAAGGAAAGGACATCAGCTCATCGTGCAGAAGCATGATATTCGCTGGACAGCAGCGTTGCAGTTGGTGTACTCGGCAATGTGCGAGCACAGCTCTTTGAAAGTTGAGTTGTGAAAACGACAAGTTCGGAATGTCGGCCCTCGAGGCTATAATTGCGTCAGTACCCAGGTACCCAGGTATCCGTGGGCCATCGGCCAATGGGAGGGAGCACTTGGCATCATCTGTGCATTTGCTATTCCTTATTTCTTACCGCCATGTTTTAAAAATCAATGAATGTATTCACCAGTAAACAGATACCTAGAGTGGGATATTTTCCAAGTTGACATACACCCGCAGACTCCAGACATTCTCCGGCCGGGCAAAGCATCTTGTCCGCATCCCCGCAGCACGCAACCGTGGTGGGACAAGGCGCCTTCACCTTTAGTGGCCAAGCAGTGGCCAGCATTCGATCACGTCACCAGGGCCATCGCTAGCGTCAGTCGCGGAAGTCGGCCCCTCGGCGCGCTCTGCTACCCTGTGGACCAATCACAGCTGGAGATGCGGCCTCGGTCGGTCGCTCCTACCGTCTCTTGTGCGCTGACGTGACTTTTTGCGTGTAAGATGTCTGGTGTTTCTCCCTCGGTCTCTCTCGCATCCGGCCAGACAAATGTCGGGGCCTGGTCTTCGACCTTTGATCATGTGTATTGTGTGAATCTATATTCTTGACACATTTTTCTTGGCTGCGGCGGTGCTGACGATGGGCTGTCGAGTGTGCCGTGCGCGCAAGGTAGGAGGAGCTCCTGAAACGGGAAAGCTGCTGGTGGAACTCGCGGGCAAAAAAAAGTTAACCAGACACGCAGGTCAAATGTGACGGCCGCCCCAATGGCTGTCGCAATTGCGAGCGGCTTCAGCTCGAGTGTGTCGCTGACGATGGCTCGACTCCAAACGGGAACCGAATTTCGCTGTCGCCCATATCGTTGAGGAAAATCCGGACGTATCGGTCTTGCCAGAGCTGTCGTTTGTCAAAGACCAAGTGTAATGGCGACCGGCCGAAGTGCGCCCGTTGTGCTGCGAAGCTGATTCAGTGTGTTTACGACGGCGGCGCCGCCCCGAGATGGACTCGCAACCTGAACCGATCACAGGCGGCTTCCGTCGATGACGATGATGGCAGCCCGACGGAGCGAGAGGGCATGACGGGTATCACGCCGAGTGAGACGGATGAGCGCGGATCGGTACGAGCCAGCCTCAGCAAGGTATCAGATGATGCCACCGAAAAGGCTTCTGTTGTGTCCGAAGCTGCTGCGACGTGCGTTACGGGTGCAGCGTCGCAGAATGGATCAAATGGACAGTTGAGCTCGCATCCGTTGGCATGGTAAGGTCATGATGGAAGCCCTGAAACATGCATGTCGGCTTTTACACGTTGCTGACCATCTCACGCCCAGGTTGCTATCTTCTGCCTTGCCGGCAACTCGGAATCTTCGCCGGGTAGTTGAACAGTACTTTTCTAATGTTCACCCTCTCCGATGCTTCGCATTTGTACACAAGCCATCGTTTATGCGCCAGCTGGACAAGGGCCTCAGCTCTGATGACGAGTCCGCACTTTTGCACATCATTTGTGCACACGGTGCAAAGTAAGTCGGCTTTGCGGCCGTTATTCTGAGAGAAAAGCGCAGACACTAACAGCATTGGTCCAGATTTCTCGTTCTGAGCGCTGATCAAGGCGAAGCCAACCATCCGCCGTCATTCCTCAAGAATGCAGGGAATCAATGGGCGAAAAGGGCTGAATTTCTGATGCTGGCCAATTTCGGAAAGATATCAGTCCAAAGACTCATGGTAAGAAGTCGCGTCTGCTTTTCAAAACAGGATGCTAACCATGTCATAGACGGCAATTCTTCTTCATGACTTTCATTTCCGACTTGGCGAATATGGCCAGGCGCTCATGATTAGCGGCCTCGCTGTGCGAATGGCTCATGCCTTGAAGATAAACACCGAGTACAATTCGGACATTCTATGCACCGAGGAGGACAGTAATGCACCCTCAGTAGCGTCAAGAGAGAGTAGACGACGACTTATGTGGGCTTGTTATGTCCTTGATGCTTGGGCGGGCAGTGGTGTCGATCAACTCACCTTGCTGCGAGAGAATGACATTAAAATCCAGCTTCCAAGTAACGAGCGAAACTTTGGGCTGAGGATACCATCTGTCACAGAGACACTCGGTGTCGGCCATGTCTTGCAATTTCTCCCACCCGCCATCGTTCCGCGACGACCCGCAGCCAACATGGGCATTATGGCTTACTATATCCGAGTTGTGACATTGTGGAAGAGAATAGTCCGATATGTTAATCACTTACATGCAGGACCACCCCCCTGGCAGCCAGAGTCTCTTTTCGCGGCATTGGATGCAGACTTGCTTTTATGGCGAAGAGAGTTGCCAGATTTCGTCGAGTACACCACCGAAACAATTTATGCACGGCTGGACTCAAACCAACTTGGTGCACTTGTGCTCATTCACTGCACCTATCATCATAATTATTTGGAGCTTTTTAAGCTCACCATGCCCGACCTCTTTAAACTTCCCAAGCCTTTCACGTTCCCCCCCGAACACCAGGAATTTCTTCAGACAGCCCAAGCCAACGCATATTATCATGCCCAGCAAATCGCGGATATATTAGCAGAAGCTGCAGAGCACGGTTCACGACTTCTTTCAGACAGCTTGTTGCCATTTTTCGTCTACGACAGCAGTCGGGTCATGTTATACTATGTTGCCCGCCTGCTGGACCCCAATAGACCAGATGCAGAGGTTAAGCTGAGAGACGCGGTGAAGGCGGTGGAGAGTAACAACAGGATTCTGGGAATGATGTCCGCGTTGTTTCCAATCGCACAGTCATTGGTAAGACGTCAAGGCCCCGATACCTTTTATGCCGCACTAACCTCTTCCTTATCTTGCAGTCTGCAACAATTGAGCGATGGCTATCCAAGGTCCAGAAAACAGTTGCTCGCGATGACCTTTTGAGCAGTCTTGAAGCTGATGACCATCTTGAATCTCACCACTCAGCGTTGTAAGTTATCAAACCATGACTTTCAACAGAATAAGCATTAATCGATTTGACGCATAGACCAAACAACGCGAGTGGAAAGCAGGACAAGCCGGGAGAATACGATCTCCCTCCCCTTTCTCTTCATTCACTCGCTCGCTCCGGGACCACCGAATCCCGTGGCATGGACGGTGATACAGCTGCACGAACCGCTAGTTGGAGCACTCAGAATCCTCATGCTGGGGGACCGGCATCCTGGGATGGAACCAGCGCTGCAGCTCACCAGCTCGTAGGCCTCAGCCAGGAACAGTCGGTTCGATCCAGTTTGCAGCATGAAAGACCAGTTCCGCTCCATCCACTTCGTAAATTTGGGGCAACGCAACCAATGTGCAATGCGCTTGACCTCGACGACTTGCAAAGCTTTTTGTCCTGGGACATGTACGGAATCATGGAAATGGGCGGCTCCGTGTCCAACGAGGATATGGACGACTCTGTATCGCAGTCTTGGACCGAAGCGATTTAGTGCTATCTCATGCTGAACTTGAAGCCTGGAGCCGCCACTTCGACATGCCTAAGAACCTGGCACGAACCCTAGAACCCTGGCGCCGAAAAGAAACGTACTGCTCATGATTGCGGACGATCTTGAGTGAGAACGTACTGGCACGGGCGGATGTAAAGCGCCACAGACACCAGGCCTCGACTCGCTTACGCCATTAAGTTCCCGTTTTGACATGGCCTTTGCCAGTACGACTTCATGCAGCGGCAGCAGGGCAACCATTTACACGGGATTAGACACGCATGAAAATGACGGCTACGGGTTATTCTTGGAATTCATAGCTTTCAAATACGGAAGAATGCGGACAAGCGCTCCGCAGGTTTTCAACGATATTGGATACAAAAGTGGTATCTTGATCCTCACCAAGTGCTGGCAAGTCTTGGAGGGTTTAGAAATGTGGACGTTAATTCTGATGCTTGCTCAAAGGACTGCGTTTTTAGCCTGGACGAAGTTGAAGTTTCTCGTTTTGTGCAGGATCTTTCTGCGGCCAGACAAGAACTTGCAGAATACTACCGCCCCAATTACCGAATGGATCAGGGGATCGGCCTTGTCCTGGAAGCTCTTGAGCGGCAGGGCTTGGCAGACAAAACCTTGGTACTCTCTTTGAGCGACAACGGACCACCATTTGTTAACTCAAAGACTACACTTTTATGACGCTGGTATTATGCGGTTACCATTCATCGTTAGAGTGCCAGGAAAGGACGCCGGCGCCATCCCCCTGAACATGTTGTCATATATTGATGTTTTCCTGACGCTCCTCGACTGGGTAGGTCAAGCTAATCGCCGGCCGTCTGAAGCCTGCGTTTAACCTTGTCAGGGACGATCAATCGTATCAAAGGACTCGGCAACCATCTAAGAAGCACGGGATCACGTATGCGATTCACACACTTTCCACGAAATCACCACCCACTGGCCTAGGAGATACATGCGAAATCGACGGTATAAGTGCCACCGCTATGTGTGCTGAAAGCTAAACTCTCCATTCGCAATGGGTCTGTGCGCATCCTCCCCCTTTGAAGCCATGCGGAGTACGTCGCCACCAAGGACTGGCAGGCGGCCGCTGAAAAGCTACATCTGCAGATTGCCAGAGGAGCTGTACGATTTGGAAACCGACCCAAAGGAGGTGCACAACCCGACGGGCACGATGGAGTATGATTCAGTAGTGAAGCAGATGCGGGAAGAAGTTGAGAAGTGGCAGATGGAGACGAAAGACTTGGTGGTTGCGGAAAGATGGTGTTTCAGTGCAGCGATTCAAGGAGTTTAATTACGAGAGGGACGGGATTGAGATTCCAGATGGGTTTGACTTTGACGTTGATAATCCGGGTCTGGGGCATGTGGAGAAGAGCCTAAAGCTGCATTGACCAAGGTAAACATGGCCTATCCATACATTGAACTCGTTCTCTTTGGCGACCGCGGTGCTCTTTGGCAACGGGTATTACCGTGTGAGGGTTGTCTACTGGTGGTGAGCTGTTCCCGTTGGGGAAAACATGTGTGAAATGATGTAATTGTATGCATGTATTGACCTTTTATGTGAGATGCTAATAAGACCACCCGTACAGAGGGCTAGATCCCAATCTTCAGCTCCTCCATCCCAATTGAGCCTCCATCCCTTTGAATTATTCACCTTTGAATGTCCACCGGCCCCATTTTTCTGCGTTGGGAGGGCCGTTGGCGCATCGATCGGCCTCCGCCGACGTCATCGATTGAGGAGCTTCGAAATCCACCCCTCCGAGCTGTCTGTAAACGGCCATGAGCAAAACCTGCTTTCAAGTGCCTTGCAACATGTCCAGCTGCAGCTTTAAATACTTCAATTGAGCCCTGCTCCTCATCTTCTCAACCTACCAATTGAGCGCACCGCAAGCAAGATATCGCATCCCCTCAACATTTTCTTTCCCGTGTAGCCGGAGCTCAACATGCTGTCGAGACAACTGCCCCGGCTCGTCGCCAGACGGGCGCGTTTCCACCAGCCCGCCCGCCAGCTCCGTTGCCAATCCACCACCACCGCCTCCTCCTCATCGTCCGGCTCAAACTTTGCAACCGGCATCCTGGGCGGCGTGGTCGGCGCCGCGGTCGTCTTCGGCGTCTACTCGTTCACGCCGGCCGGCCGCACCGCCTCCAAGCTCAACAAGGCCGCCGCAGAGGCGTCGAAAAAGTACGACGCGGCCGCCAAGACGCTGCAGAGCAACCCGCCCAGCGCCGACCAGGCCGTCGACTCCATCAAGCAGTTTGCCTACTCGTACGCGGCGTGGATCCCGGGCGGCAGGGGCTACGTGGACGCGGCGTTCAAGGACTGGGAGACAGTGCGCGACAGCCACAAGGACGAGGTGGACGCCATCGTCAACGACACCCACAAGAAGCTGGGGGATGTTTCCAAGGCGGGCCTGAGCCTGGAGACGGCGTCGAGGGCCGTCGACGTGCTGGCCGAAATGTCGAGGCGCATCGCGGAGCTGTCCAAGGACGCGCTCTCCGACATCCTCGACAACCACCCCCGGCTCAAGGACAAGTTTGGCGCGAGCATCGACGAGCTCAAGGCCATGGCGGAGAGCTACGGCCCCGAGGCGAAGAGGCAGGTCGACCAGACGTGGGCGCAGGTCAGGGACATTTTGGCCAGCGGCGTCTCAGAGGAGAGTCTCGCCAAGGCGCGCAAGCTGCTCGAGGACAAGGCGCAGCAGGTCAAGGGCCTGGGGGACGAGGCGTGGACAAAGGGCATGGAGGCGGCGAGGCCGTATCTGGACAAGAACCCCCAGGTCAAGACGCTGCTCGAGGAGAATGCCGAGTCGTTGAAGAAGGGCAGTCTGTCGCAGCTGTTTGACAAGCTTCGCTCGGCTGAGAAGTCGGGCAGCGTGGATGAGCTGCAGGACTATGTACGGGGGGCTGTTGACAAGGCCAAGGCCAAGGCGGCCAGGGCGGCAGAGGGCTCCGGGCTGGAGAAGTACTTTGACGCGGTTCCGCAGGGCGGCGAGGTGATGAAGAAGCTGCGGCAGATTGGGGACGTGGCGGAGAAGCACTGGAGCGAGGGCGAGCAGCTGCTCAAGGACACGGTTGAGGATTTGAAGAAGGTGTTGGAGGACAAGGAGAAGAGGGCGGGGGAGATTGTGAGCGAGGCGGAGAAGAAGGTTGCGAGGGAGGGCAAGAAGAAGACGGATTAAGTCGATGGGTTATGGAGGCGTGTTGTTTTTTTAATAATGACGTGATGCTCCTTACTACTTTGCGCTCTTTACCCCTTTTGTGAAGCAGTCCATCAATGTTGAGTTTGCGTGGTGTGGGTTTGTGACTTTGTACCTTAATTACCTCTCGCAGATTTTCAGGTGTCAGTCCGGCTGCTAGTCCGGCTGCCACCTGGCACAAGAATCCGGGTGGAAGTGAGCACACGGGGCCGAAGAAACCGCACACGCTATTGGCTGATTCCTCGGCCCTCACGGACCGCATCGGGCCCGAACAACAACAAGAGTCCCTGATTGGCCAGACCTGCGCAAGTTGCCGGTCGTGTACGGTGTAAGTGCCATCGCGAGACGTACACATATATATAGACGACCACCTGGAACATTTGTTCCAAGCCGAGCCAATGTATCCATCACACAGCTCGAGGCCCTTGCACTCACTCCCTGCTTTGCCGTTCAACACCGTCAAACACCATGGCTGAAAAGCAGCCCGCCGACAATGCGGACGTCGAATCCGCGCAACCCTCAACCGCAAACACAGACTCCGACACGCCCAAGAACGTCGACCCAAACCTCATCGCATGGACGCCTTCCGACCCCGAGCATCCGCGCAACTGGCCCCGGCCTACCAAGTGGAAAACCACACTGACCGTCTCCCTCTTCGTCTTCATCTCCCCCATCTCCAGCGCCATGATTGCCCCCGCGCTGGAGGACCTCGGCCGCAGCCTCGACATGAAGGGCAACGTGGAGGTGTATCTCTCCCTGGCGATTTTCATCCTCGCCTACGCCGTGGGGCCCATCTTCTTCGGCCCCGCGAGCGAGCTGTACGGACGAGTGAGGATACTGCAGATCACGAACCTGTGGTACCTGGTGTGGAATCTGGCGTGCGGGTTTGCAAACACCAAGGCCGAGCTGTTTATCTTTCGCTTCCTCGCCGGCATTGGCGGCAGCGCGCCCCTGGCCGTAGGCGGCGGCGCAGTGAGGTAAGTAGGCACCATGAGAGCGTTTCTCTTGTCCAACTTGGCTGACGACGAGGCAAAAATAACAGCGACATGTGGAAGCCCGAGGAGCGCGGCAAGGCCATGAGCACATACACCATGGGCCCGATGCTAGGGCCCGTCATCGGCCCCATCGCCGGCGCCTTCATCGCGCAGTACTCGACGTGGCGATGGGTCTTTTATTCCACCAGCATCGCCGCGGCCGTCGTCCAGGCCCTCGGCTTCGTGTGGCTGCGCGAGTCGCACCCGCCGACGATCCTCCGCCGGCGACGGGACCGCCTCACCCGCGAGACGGGCAACCGGGACCTGTACACGGGCGAGAAGGAGGAGACGCTGGGCCGCACGCTGCTGCGCGCGGTGCAGCGCCCCGTCCGCATGTTTGCCACGCAGCCCATCGTCGCTTGCATCGCCGTCTACATGGCCTACCTCTTTGGCACGCTGTACCTCATGTTTGCCACGTTCCCCGACATCTGGACCAAGGTGTACGGCCAGTCCAAGGGGGTGGGGGGCCTCAACTACCTCTCCATTGCCATCGGGTGCTTTGCCGGCATCTTCCTGCAGCTGAAGATGGTGGACCGCGTGTACGGCGCCCTCAAGAGCAGGAATGGCGGCGTCGGACGGCCCGAGTTCCGCATGCCCAGCTTGGCCATTGGCTCTGTCGTCCTGACCGTCGGGCTGTTCTGGTACGGATGGAGCATCGGCCGCGCGCACTGGATCATGCCGGATATTGGCGCGTTGCTCTGCAGCGTCGGCGTGATTTGCTGCCTGCAGGGGATGCAGATGTACATTGTGGACTGTTACCAGACGTACGCCGCGAGTGCCATGGCCGCGTGCGCGGTTCTCAGGAGCTTGGCGGGCTTTGGTTTCCCTCTGTTTGCGCCGTACCTGTATGAGGACCTGGGGTACGGCTGGGGAACGAGCATTCTGGCCTTTGTCAGTATTGCCATTGGGTGGGTGGCTCCGGTCATATTCTGGGTTTGGGGACCTCGATTGAGGGCCCTGTCCAAGTTTGCGTCTGGGTGAAGATTGTTGACATTCCATGGGGGACTAGTTGCTTGTATACTTCATGTCCGGGAGTGGGTTGAGGATCCGAAGAGGGTGATATGAGTGGTGTTTAGCGCAACACACATTTGTAAAGCTGAACGGAGGTGAGTTTTGCTTCAAAGATTGTCACAGACTTGACGATGATGTTGAGCTGGGGGACTCATAGGGACGCTATTTTGTTCAGGGACTCATTATAATCACTAGATTTACATAGACTACAACGCAATTTAGACAATTTTTAGCATAAAGGGCATTGCACTAGACATTATACAAGAACCCATTCAGCTCTGGTTTCTGGAACATCTTGCTGATGATGGTCAGGTCACCACTTACATTCTGGCAGAATATATTTGCCCACTAAGTAGTATGCACCAATGTATTAGAGTGTATTGTAGTATAAAATGTGATAGCCAGGTATCTGACCTGGTTGATACGTTTTTGCCTCCCACTGTAGGCTGGTATATACCTAGAAGAGTGATTATCGTTTTCATTTCTGTATGAATCCCTCCTACATTTACCGTCGAACACATTTCTGTATGAAGAACCGACGGGGAAAGGGCTGTGCGTCAGACTGTGTCTGGTACATCTGCTTGCGATCGCCAGCATCACGAAATTGACGCTTCCTTACGCCAATTATACATATTTGGATGGTGAAATAGTGGATTAGTGGCTATGGATTGGTCAATAATAATGATATCGACATTGCAAGCACTACTTGGTACACAAGTGTTAAAGGATCCAAAATCCGACAACATGCTTCAGGGATGGACTATAGCTTCGGTTACATTAGTTCTCATATCCTGTTTGTGGTATTTAATAGCTGGACAAGAGGCACCTGTAATTTTACGTCGCCAGCACGAGCGCCTGCCGCGCGTATATATTGATACCCTCCTTGGCCAAGTCCTCGTCATCCACTGTGTCCAACGTCCACTGCGCTGGAAACACCCACTTTATCCATTCAACGCTCCAATTTATCGCCGCAAGACATCCGTCCGAAATTTCTTCATGCCAGTGCCAGCAAGTAGCCATCCCGAGAAGTGCCACCGGAATAGATATAAAGC